AATTCTTAATCAAAGAATTGGAAAGAATCGTTGCTTCTTCTTTCAATATCAGAGAGTTTGGATGAGAGACCTGCTCAAAAAGAAAAAGTTATTGGGTGTGCAAACCCAATTTCGAGGGATTTCATTCCAGGTGACCGTACTGTAGTTGTTTTTATTGTGAGGATGATTTTGGCGCGCAGTTCTATACACACTCGAGGGATGGTTTTCTTGACCACGCATCGGAAAGCGAAAAGAGGACTCCTATTATTTCAGTGGAAGATCTATGGGATTCTAATTCAAATCAGAATATTTGCAACAAAGCTTTGTTGGTCACAAGAGAAAACCGTCTGCCTACAGAAAATCTATATACTCATATTAAGATGTATATGAAGAAGAATCGGCGATCTCATCAATCTTATGAGAACTAGATCCTAAACATGAGTGGAATGCTGATTACTCAACATAGACTCAGAGTTATCTTGGGAGGGTTTATATTATACTTCGGGTTGGGCTTTCTTTTTCTATTTCTCCCGTTTTTTGTTGTTTTCTTTCTTTTTTTCTCTTTCTTGTAACTTTTGTCACTACCTTTAATAAAACTTGTTTTCTTCTAAAAAAGAAAAGACAAACTCCTTTTTTATATTCGAACCACTATTGGACATATTTCTCTTTATCGCAAAATTGAAGAAGCTATCTTTCAAAAGTGAAAAGGTTTTAGGAACATTCAAAAAAAGATGACAAAATTTTAAGGGACGGAGAGAATGCCACACAAGATATCGGGTTACTCCTTTTATCACCTTTTAAGACAAAACCTCTAGTTTTAACAAATACTACGTATCAATTAAATTTAAGTTGTACACATAAGAGCAGTTAACAATGTTGTGTTAACTGCTCTTATGAACACTGCGCAGGTGAAAATACTAGTCTTCTTTGCATTATATGAAGTATAATGCGTAGTATATGCTTTATTATTGACTAATAATATTAATTCCTATACTAATTAATATTGCTAATGATTCGTTAATGTGTTACTTCAAATTAAATGGATGTTGACTATTTTCATAGAGGTAATTAATCATATGATAAAGTTTCATTGATATGGAAGAAGTACTGGAAACTGTTAAATTAATTAGTATGATAAATACAAATGGATGTTGACTATTTTCATAGAGGTAATTAATCATACTCCCTCCGTCCCTAAATAAACTTCCAACTTCCCTTTTTCGTCTGTCTCAATTAAAACTTTCACTTTCCCTTTTTGGCCAGAATTTGTGGTTCACAATAATTCTTACACATTTCTCTCTCCTCTGCACAACTCTCCACCACACAATATCCACTATCTTAAACTGTGTGCCAAACCTATTTGGAAGTTTTATTAGGGACGGAGGGAGTATATGATAAAGTTTCATTAATGTCTTTACTCTTTAGCTCTGCCATATTGTTGTTAAATTAATTTAAATTAAAGCTTGCGTGTGCATCAAGTTCATCGACTATACTCGAATCAAACTGTTGGCGAGAATATTCACACATTGCGAATGACATGCCTTTGAACCATCTTCGTAAACATAATGGTTTCATATTTCTGTGCAGATTACACATGTATATAATATTAATACCAATACTTAATTATGTGAAAAAATATGACCAAATTGTAGACAATAATTTTATATTACCTTTCCACAAAATAAAACTCATTGTGTACGTAACACGAATTACGGAGTATTAGCTTAGGTCAAGAGAAAGACCAAGCGAAGTAATAGACAAAGTCAAAAAGATTATTAGAATTTAAAGAATAAAGTTTCTCTTTCGTTTTGACAACATGCAAGAGTTGTGTGAATTCGAGGTAACTGGACTTTTGTTCATTCATTCGTTTATTTGCACTCTACTCCGGATTAATACTACATATGTGCAGTGGCGGACCCAGAGATTTGTCAGAGCAGAGACACACTAGACACTAAACTTACTCTATAATAAAAATTTCAAATGTAATAAAGATGATAAATAGTAAGGCAATAACATAAATTATATGGAGTAGTTAATTATATATTAAATAGTTCATTTCTGCAATTTTGGTAAATCAAGCCTACGAGTTTTCATATTCTGAAAATGTTGCATAATAGTTTCATTATCGATACTCCTAAAAACATCTCTCTCGATGTAGCACATCAAGCAATCTGTAAGATAATCATCTTCCATCTCATCGCAGAGAAGGCTCTTTCAACGGTGGTTGTTGCAACTGGTACTAAAGCCAACTCAATCGGACGATATACCAAGTGAAAAGAATTGTGATTTTTAAGCTCAACCATCTTTTGCAAACTTCACCAATAGTCTGTACGGCAAAAAATAATTCATCTGTTCTCATTTCATATATCCACACCTGGAGTTGCTCTTTCAGCTCCATTCAATCAACGGATGAAAAATCGCATGAATATAATTCTGCGAGGTTCAGTAGCTTTGACTCACAGAAATTGGAGAACTTATCTCTAGGATCAAGACATCCTAAACAAGTGAGTAATAATGTGTTTGACTCACTAAAACGGCTCTCCATCTCAAGACTTATCTGATCAATCACCTACAATGAAAAAAGTAATAATAATAAAGTCAAAGCAAAAATAAGTATTGGGCTTAAATAATACTAATAGTTTTTTTTGGGCCCTTCAACTTGTTTTTTAAACTTTTATCACTTGTTTTAGATTACTTTTAGTTGGCCGTATATTAACCTTTGACTACTTTTTCTCCTTTTTTGAGAATTCTATATATTTTATTTTAATTCAACTAAAATTTAAATATTGTGTATTAACTGTTAATTTATATAATCAAAACATTTTAGTATCTTGATTATCTAATACTAATAATTTTTTGTACGGGTTGGGGCACTAATTTTACCCGAAGTAGTAGTGAATTTTTTGACCGGAAGCAGGTGCACCTATTTTACCGTAAGTACTAGTAGTGAAATTCCTGGCCGGAAGTCGGGGCACTTGCCCCGGTAGGCCCCCCTAGGTCCTCCACTGCGTACGTATGTGATTAAAATATGGCCATTGGATAAAATGATTGGATAAAAAAATGTGATTTTTAATGTTACTTTTAATCGATTATAGTAAAAGTGTAAATTATATTTTATTTAAACTGCATTGACCACGATAATATATTACTAGTAATAGTTATCTCACACACACAATACGAATCACTCCATTCCCTAAATTTTAATGATTACATGTTGTTTCAACAAAAATAATATCAAACTGAATTGTGCATTTGGTGAAACTGAAACGTGCATTACGTGCAATTAAAATGTGCAGAATAAAAAGTAAAACTCAAATGTGAATTTAGGTGGAATTGAAATTAAATGTGTAGAATAAAAGGTTGAAAAATGCAATTGCATGCATCGTACCTTTTATTTTGTACATTTCGGTTTCACCTAATACATATTTCAGTTTCACCTAATGCACAATTCAACTTCATATAATGTTGTTGCGTCATACCCTTTGTGCTACACATTTCAATTACATCTGATACATATTTTAGTTTTATCTAATACACATTTAATTTCACATAATACAATATAACAGTCCAAGTTCATTCTCATTTCTCTTAAGAAAACTTCTTCCAATGAGAAATGAGAACGGTCTCACAAGATATACATTGAGGTTTAAAATGACAGAAAAAGTTGAATTTATTTCCCGCTTCATGTAATGCATAACTTCCAAATATAATCAAACACATTATGTCATAATGTGTAAAAATGCCACATTCATCTAAATATGTCAAATAAAAACCATGTTTGCTGTGAAAGCTATGAACAATTGTAGTTTTTTCGCAATGGGATACATTATTAACTTTCTATGCTACACTTTTCACCTTTAATTTACTAAAAACTTTGACATATTTTTCAAACTACCACCACGTTTTTTATTTATATTACTCCCTCCGTCCCTGAATGTTCTTCCGATTGCGGATTACGAAGGTTGACCGACGATAAAGTTAAATGATCCCTGTGAAAACTCGGATTATTTTTAGTAAATAAAATTTACATATTCAGAAACTACATTAAACCCGCTACAAAGCCTGCACAAAAAAAATCAATTTTCATAAAGTTTTGATACAAAAAGTAAGAGTTTAAGAGTGATTTAAGTTGACTCTCGAAAAGCGAAATGGAAGTAAATTTAGGGACAGAGGGAGTACTATAGAACTATTAACCCTAAGTAGGACAAAATTAAAAATAGACCTATATGAAACAATAGAACTAATTTTTTATTCCCAAAATATGAGTAATATATGTTCCTTCTTCCAATTCTACCCGTTCCTAATAGATTTAATTTATTAATAAGCTAGAAAACCATAATTTTATTTATTATAAAAATATAAAAAATAATAAAACTATTTATAAATTTATCAAAAACAGGGAAAAGTAAATAACTTAATAACTGAAATAATAAAAAAATCTAAAAAATATGTAGGCATGTGCCGCTACATCCTCCACCCCAGGACCACCAATCTCGATCGCCGGAAATATGTCATAATGTGTAAAAATGCCACATTCATCTAAAAATGTCATGAAGATGGCAACTCTAGTCTTTGAATATATTCCTCTTTTCTGATCTTTTTAAAATTTTCATCATAAAAACATTTTTTTTCAATTTGGCATTCTTTTCCGGAGACCGAAAGTGGCGGTGCTGGCCGGAAGGTGACTGTGGTGGTGGTTGAGGCCTGTATATTTTTATTTATTATTTATTTATTTTTATTTTTATTAAAATAATCAAAATATGAAGAGTTAATCCTGTTTATGTAGACAATTATGCTCTTTGATGGGGTTGGACCAAAGTGCAAAACCTATAAATTTTAAAGTTTTTTAGATTTAGTAAAATATCAAAACAAAATCCTATATACAAGTATAAAATGGATAAATAATACTCTCATACTACATACGAAGTACGTAGTATATAGTATACTCCGTATAATATACTCCGTATAATATAAAAAGAAATGCTAAAAATTCCGGGCAGCACTCGCTAGCTCGCAACACTCAGAAAGTCAGAATCATATATAGCTATAATATATATGCCCCTAATATTATGGTAGGACTTGGAACATTGTGGATTAATCTTGACCGATTTTCATACAATTATTTTATTGAATTTGTGACTACTATACATATATTACACGGAGTAATCATAAGCATTGGCAGCTGGGTGGGTGAATTAGGTGGAGCTCCGATCGATCCTTGTATGTAATTGATCGATCGAGAAATATAGTGATGGGTTATGAAGTGGTTATGGATAAAAGCATAATGATAGTCACAGTGCTGGGATTAATGGCGGGTTACTGCTGGGAAATGGGAGAAGGGAGATTCGTGGTGGAGACGAACAGCATCACTGTGGTTCAGCCCTACGACCTCCACGCCAAGCACAACGCCTCCATTTCGGACTTCGGAGTCCCCAAGTACGGCGGCTCTCTCGTCGGCAGCGTCGTGTACCCGTCGGCACAGCACGGCGGACCCCTCGGCTGCTCCTCCTTCCAGGGCTTTAAGCCTTTCAAGTCCAAAACTTCTCGCCCCAACATTCTCCTTCTTGATCGTGGAGGTATATACATATGCTAGCTCTACTTTAATTTCGTTCACACAATTAAGATCACTGCACTATATAGATAGTTTATATGTATAATAATGTCACTCACTATATCTTATTGTTTCATGTTCGTTTTGACTTTAAAAAAATTATATATCAATCAATCTGATTGAATGAGTTTTGGAGACTTTTTACATTTTTAACATTTATGCAATTATACTTCGTATATTCTAGCAATATTTTTATCTGATCTCTTGAAATGATGAAATTTTTTTCTGGGTTCGCCCTCAAATACGCGCTAACAATTTTTTCAATGATCGATATGAACTACTTCCGGCAAAGCAAACAGTTGGCGGAGCTTTTGCTTTTCTCGTAGAACTTTTGTATTTGTCAAAAATGATACATATGCTCTTGTTGTAAAGTCATGAATCTAAATAAATTTGTTTCGTACATAATGGGATCTAGAAGAAAGGAAAATTACTAGCTAGACTTATAGTAATATGAACGAAGACCGGCAACTAAATCAATAAAGTTATATTCCAAATATGTGTTGTTTGGTACAGAGTGACTGGTGGTATTTTCTCAATGATAGTTGTGATCATGAAGATAATCGATCTTAGTGTGGAGTTATTATACGCAATATCATTTGCAATGTCATTTTCTGTGTAACTATTGTGATCATGTTATTATTATTTTTTGTCTAAAAATTACTCCGTATATTTTAATAAGAGGGAAAATCACACTTTTAGTCCCTGAAATAGTCACGAAAATGAAATGTCGGACCCGTATTCTCGAGTTTCTAAATGTCGTCCCTCAATTGTAGTGAATGTTGTAAATGTGGTCCTTTGAATGTGAAATACATAATGTGGGCGAGATTACATTTCACCCCTTAAAGGATCACATTTACAACAATTTGGACAATTGAGGGGTGACATTTACAATATCAGAAATACGGGTCCGACATTTATTTTCGTCCCTTAATAATATTATATGATTTGTTTTTAAAGGAAATCATCTATATATATTGATATCATTAAAATCAGGACCGTTACATCAATATTAGTGTGATCAATGCTGACTACAACTTTCACCTTCCAACAACGAACTACTATTAGCCCTACGGTTGGACATTGAAACGATCACCCCTGAGTAACAATATAGGAATCGCTAACCACCAGACAGGTTTAATGCAGGTATTGCTGAGCAAATAGATCCGTTCACCTCTAATCATATCAAATCTAGCCGAAACCCCAGTCATCGTAATAAACCTAGCACCGTGAACTTTAACAAAAAACAAAACGATAAGAACGGAGTTCATAATTAAAAAATTGAAACTGAATAAAACAAAATTAAAGAAGATAAACCAATAGAGCAACCGAATTCATCCTTCAAACGCCTTCTTCCAAACTCTAGCTTCACGGTTCCTCCATAGCGGCGGTTTAGGAGGGTGACTGATAATCAATTCATCTCCATCCTCCATCGATAGACTCACAACCGCAACTAGATCCGTTCACCTCTAATCATATCAAATCTAGCCGAAACCCCACTCATCGTAATAAACCTAGCACCATGAACTTTAACCAAAAACAAAACGATAAGAACGGAGTTCATAATTAAAAAATTGAAACTGAATAAAACAAAATTAAAGAAGATAAACCAATGGAGCAACCGAATTCATCCTTCAAACGCCTTCTTCCAAACTCTAGCTTCACGGTTCCTCCATAGCGGCGGTTTAGGAGGGTGACTGATCATCAATTCATCTCCATCCTCCATCGATAGACTCACAACCGCAACCCTCACACCATAGCCTCCACCAGCAAATTATTATTTCTTGTCAAAAATTAAATTCTAATAATATTGTAGGAAAAATCTTTTATATCTTAGCTTACTACTTAAAATTCCAAAATTGTTTGTTCGTAATTCTATATAGTTCTGTTTTTTATACGTAGCTTATTTTTTTTTGTTATATAAGGTACGTAAACGTAATTTGTCCATCCGGCTACCAGATCAGTTACCCCGACAATATTTTTGTTTAATTACACAATTTAAGCCGGCTAACATAAATCGATACACGATAACACAAACAAAAAGAAAAGAATAGAAAAAATATGTTTTTCTCAAATTCACAAATTTATCTTATGTTTTCACTTTTATAAAAAAAGACGCAAACTTCATGTTTTTCAACAATTATGTTTTTTTTTTCAAAATTACATGTTATTATAAATACCAATAAGATATAAGCAATACAAGTTTGTAAACTTAAAACTAGAAACAAGTGGAAAATATGAAATATAAATGTGATTTTCTTCTTTAGTTTTACTAATTCATCAATTGAAAGTGTAATTGTGAGAAAAGTTGAAGTTTGAGTCTGTGTTTAATAAAAGTGAAAGTATGTATAGATTTGTAAATTTGATGATAGTTGGGATATATTTAACTAATAATCCCAGAAAAAACTGTCATTTTAGTCCTCATACTATCGGAAAAACGTTAATTAATTAAGATCCTATAGTAAATTAAAAATCAATCAATCAAATCCCGTGAACTTTGAAAAAACGTTTAATAGAGTCAATTAGCGGGTTGTCTGCCAGGTCAGCAGACCACCCTGTGACGTGACATTCCACGTGTGTGCCACGTCATCGGGAAATAACTGACTGAGCTTCCACGTGTGCGTCACGTCTGCAAAGTCTGCTAACTGGGCTTTCATGTGCGCGTCACGTCATGGAGGATTGGCCCTCCATTTTACTCTTTTCAATGTTATAATCACATTCAACCCAAACAAAAGCATATCAAAAATTAGTTTTACCATAAAGAATAATAAAATTGGCACAAAAAGAATACGGCCAGGATGCCGTTAAAAAATCATAGCATACAAGTATACAAAATAGAAATACAAAATTAAATACTAGTTGGGTATGTAAAATAAGCCAACATCAACAAAACTCAACAAAATAAAAGAAACAAATCTAATTGTTAGTTCCAGTTTGGTATGTCGATCATCCAGTTTATGTAGTTTGAGATTGAAATGTATCCAAATATGAACATTCCTAGTGTTAAAAAATCACCTTCTATTTTTAATATACTTCACTTTTTAATTAATGGATATGGTGTGGTATGCTAATGAATAGTTTAGAGGATCATGTCCCCTACTACTATTCTCTAAAGTAATACGTAGTACGACGTAAAACTTAGGGTGAAATGAATAATTGTTATCTTAGCTATTAATATTGTCCCTTTTGATACCTTAACATTTAAAAGAATCAATTCAAATTAGTACCATAACTATAGATACATGTTTTAATTGACAATATTATTCAAATTTTCATCCAAAAAATTGTACGTGGCGGTCAGAATTCTATGTGTAATGTCCACTTCACTGTACTTTTGTCCATGTCATCACTGTAGAGTGGATTCTACAATAAAATTTTGATTGCCATGTAGGATTTTTTGCCGCAAATTTGAATAATATTGTAAATTGAAACATTTATGTATGATTATGATACTAATTTGGTACATTTAATAGTTATGTACCAAAACGTAATAATATCAATAGTTAAGGTACCATTTATGCATTTGACCCAAACTTAAAAATAGTACTCCCCGTCCCCTTTTAAATGTCCCGGAAGAGGGTGACACGAGTTTTAAGAATAGTGAGTTTGTGTGGTTGATATTAATTCATAAAGTAAGAATAAAGTAAGAATAATTTTGAGCCACACAAACTTTACCAAATAAGGTACGTGACAATTAAATAGGGACATCCCAATATGATAAAACGGGACATTTAAAAGGAGACGGAGGGAGTACATATTTTGCCTCTTCAAATTTATTGCCTAGTTTCAGTAGTTAATTGATGTTGTTAAGCTAAAGATTAGTTCATGGAATTGGAGTTGGGGATCATGCCCAACTGCTAATTGTATGGTCCTACGGTCCAACCTTTTACTTCTGCGCCAAAATAAAGGAAATGGTGGATAAACTTTTGGTATGGCGGGTCACACTAAAGTTCAGGTCCGGCCAGGCCGGACCACTCCCTCCGTCCGGCCTCCTCCATTTGGGGGCCTTCCCGATGGTATTTTTTTCTCAAATTTTTTGTGTAGGTTCCTCATCAAGTCTAGTTCATCCATACCAAATTTCAGAAAAAAATTCAATCGGGAAGGTTGTCAAATGATTTTTGCAAGTTAACTGGTCCGGAATATGTATTTTCCGGACCAGTTAACTTGCAAAAATCATTTGACGACCTTCCCGATTGAATTTTTGGCTGAAATTTGGTATGGATAAACTAGACTTGATGAGGAACCTACACAAAAAATTTGAGCAAAAAATACCACCGAGAAGGCCCCCAAATGGAGGAGGCCGGACGGGGCTCCGGTCAGGTATACCTGACCGGAAGACTACTCTGGCGGGTCATATTTAACTAATTTAAGGTATTGGAAACTATGGAAAGCATGGATAAGTTGACATGAAAAATTCTCCATTGCCTCTGCAGAATGTTATTTCTCGTTGAAGGTCTGGAACGGGGAACAGGCGGGGGCAGCTGCAGTCTTAATAGCTGATTCGTATGATGAGCCGTTGATAACAATGGTTTCTCCGGGCGAAAGCCCAGGCAACGATGGATACCTAGAGAAGATTGGGATCCCATCGGCTTTGATCGAACGGTCCTTCGGAAACACCTTGAAGGCTGCTTTGAAGAAAGGCAACGAAGTTGTGATCAAAATGGACTGGACGGAGTCAATGCCGCACCCGGATGAGCAGGTGGAGTACGAACTGTGGACCAACGGCAACGACGAGTGTGGGAAGAGTTGCGATGAGCAGATGAACTTCATTAAGAATTTCAAAGGGAATGCTCAGATTCTCGAAAAGGGTGGATTCACAGCGTTCACACCTCACTATGTCACATGGTACTGCTTTGAGCCTTTCAGTAAGAGCAGCCAATGCCAGTCCCAGTGCATAAATCACGGCAGGTACTGTGCTCCTGATCCAGAGCAGGATTTTCAGAAAGGGTATGAAGGAAGGGATGTAGTGCTGGAGAACTTGAGGCAGCTTTGCGTGCACAGGGTTGCCAATGAGACTGGAAAATCCTGGGTTTGGTGGGATTACGTCACAGATTTCCACATCCGGTGTTCCATGAAGGACAAGAAATATAGCAAAGAATGTGCAGAAGGAGTCTTGAAATCTCTCAGTAAGTCTCTATTTCTTACTGAATTTGGTATTTGATTGGAGTCAGTAAACTGTGCGCTTCTTCGTTATGAAGCAACAATCAGTCTTATAATTTTCGATGCGATTTTCACTATGGGTCATTCGGAAACAGTCTCTCTGTGCTATAGTACAGGGGTAAGACTGCGTACATCCGACCCCCTTTACCCCACCGTTGGTGGGAGCCTTTGCGGCACTGGGGTAATGATATTGATGAATGATGATGATTGGAGTCGGTCATAGCATTTATGCCAAAAAATGTTAAAAATATAGAATCCCATCAGTTATCTAGTTCAGCTCAGTCTTTTGAACTCATTTATTTCCTCAGGGCTTCATTTTTTAATTTTTAATTTTTAATCTAATTATACATCTTCAATCTGTGTGTATTTCTTCTTTTTTGGGTTACCTCATCATCAGACCTGCCTATGGAAAAGATGGCGAAGTGCATGGGTGATCCTGAAGCCGATGCCGACAATCCACTACTGAAAGCTGAGCAAGAACATCAGGTTCACAATTTATTTTTGTACATCATTATGTCACAAGCTTAATTTTTTTCTATGCTCAAGTATTCCTCACTTTGTCAACATTTATTACACACGCAAACCAAAGATTTATTGTGTTCTTTAAATCTTTCAATTATTTCTCTTATGCCATATTCATTTAATTTCAAGCTACAAAAGCTAATAAGAGTTCTATACATTTCCGTTTTGTTTGCCTCAGATAGGTCAAGGGACTCGTGGAGATGTTATTATGTTGCCCACCATGGTCATAAATAATGTCCAATACAGAGGTTGGTTTTATAAGTTTTATGTATGTATATATGTTTTTTTGTATTATATATCATGTTTGTTTTGCTATACATGCATATGATAAACACATATTGTTTAAAAGCAACATTTATCCAGATTTTTTATAATGTATATGAAAATTTGTATAAAAATGACATGTATTATCTCTTGTCTGCACTTTTATGTTTATTTCACTTATATGCATATGCTTTTGTATGGGTGCTCATCAAATCTCATATATTGCTTCACTAAGGTAAACTTGAGAGGACTGCTGTGCTGAAAGCAATTTGTGCTGGGTTTAAAGAAACAAGTGAACCTGCAATCTGTCTTAACGGAGGTTAGCTTTAACTTGTTTTCCCTTTTAATCAACACTGATACAATCCAATCTGACATCTCGATGGGGTGATATATTATCAGATATGGAGACAAATGAGTGTCTTGAAAATAATGGTGGCTGCTGGCATGATCCAAAGTCTAATGCAACGGCCTGCAAGGTATTTAGCCTCAAGGGATGCTGTAGTGTGGTTTTCAGACTATCCCATTAGGGCTCACGTTATCCTAATGTTATCCCAATTAAATTCTAGTTTTAACCAAAAATTGTTTTTATTCTCTAAAAGAGCCTCTGTATTACAAAAGTCATCTAGGATGAATAATCCCTTAGAAAACATGGTTTGGGGTGGGGGTAGGGAAGGGGGTTGAATTATGCACTTTTTAGATTTTATTTTCCTGGAAGAAGTTCTTTTTAACTGCAACTTGAATCTCGAAGCAGGTGTTAGTATATATGGTATATGATTTGCTTGTTTCTTATTACAAACTTGTTTTTGTGAAGGACACGTATAGGGGGAGGGTTTGTGAATGCCCTTCCTTGAATGGTGTTGAGTACAAAGGCGATGGATATGCATCATGTAAAGGTATAATGTCTACCTGAAATGTGAAAAATATTACTATGATAGTTAAACAATATACCAGGGACACAACAACCTATTTCAGTTAAGGATTGGGGGAGTATATCCCAGGGTCGGCATACTGATTTCCATTCAATGAGGGATTGGTTTTGCACTCAACACATTACATCTATTTGCGTTGGAACATTAGAACAACCATTGATGGGATTCACTCTTAACAATGCAATAATTGGAACTTGTTGTAACAAGCTTGACTTCTAAATTCCATAGTTATATATTCTAATAATGTTGCCCACTCATAGAAGTATGTTCAAGTGTCCAGCTATTAAAGTCGCTGGACATAGCCCAAACAGATTTATTTTTAGGCGCCTCACAAAAACATCACGCTAATTGATTTAGGTGTCCACTTATGTTCATGGTTTTGTCTGTTATTTTTCCAATGTGGGACTTGAGTAGCACCCTAAGAAGAACCAGAACAAACATCCTTTCACTATCTTTAATGCCTTACTGTAGTGTTTTGTGTGCATACTTACTCTAAATCGTATATTTGACTATCTATGTTGTCGCTTCTTAAATCTTCTTCTACTTTTTTCTGTTTGCAAAAGCTGTTGGGCCTGGAAGGTGCATGTTAGACAATGGTGGTTGCTGGTCAGAGACCAAACACGGAATAACTTTTTCTGCTTGCTCAGTTCGGTGTTACTACCCATTTTTATTGTTGTCGCTTCTTATAACTCCTTTGATTTTTTTTCTTTTATGGATTTCATTGTTGATAATTTTTTAATGCAAATAGGAAGCTCTTGTTTCTGGCTGCAAGTGTCCTAATGGCTTTCGAGGGGATGGCCATAAATGCAAAGGTAATACATAATGTGTAGTGACCAGTGATGAGTCACAATAAACCTCTTTAACAATGGACATTCCGTTCTTAAAGTTGTTGCTTGCACTGTAACTAGATTCTTTTTATACTTGATCGCGTAATAGATGTGAATGAGTGTAAGGAAGGAACAGCCTGCAAGTGTGATGGTTGCTCTTGTACAAACACTTGGGGTGGATATGACTGCAAATGCAGATGGGATAATTTGTACATAAAGGAGCATGACATATGTATAGGTACGTTTAAGAATTATATAGAATATATTCAATAATAAAAACAAGCTTTATGTCATTAATTTCTTGATGTTTTGTTACAGAAAATTTGTTTATATGTTGTACAGAAAGAAACTCCTCAAAAGTTGGACGGTTGATCACTTTGATAGTTTTGGCGGTTGCACTTTGTGCTGGTATAACTGGATACATATTTTACAAATACAGACTACGGGTATGTAAGGAAATTGTGTTCGAATCTTCAATTTCCCTTTCTATACATAATTTTGCGTTGAGATGAGATGAGGACGCGACACTTTATTATGTCATTAATCTTCAAACTCCTCTAAAGCCCATTTTGTGTTTTGGCTGAAATAGTTGGATTTTTATGGCAAATACTTTCTCCGTTCTTTAATAGCTACAACAATGCTTTAACTTTTAACTCTTTTCTCTCATGGTTAAGCATAGCCAATTCAGTATGTGGAGTCATTTGGTAAAATGCCTAATAATATAATCTTGTTCTTGCAGTCATACATGGACTCGGAGATAAAAGCTATTATGGCACAGTATATGCCACTTGACGACAATCATCACAATCGGGTTGTCCAGCATGGAACTCATGAGCCAATTCCCCAAGAAGGCTCATCTATTGCTTGAATAATTGAAGGTTTTGGTTATGGAATGACAATATTCTACATTCTCCACTCCGCTTTTTATAATGTCTATATAGTGTGTGTCTTAAGTTCTAGTAACGGGTGAATGTGTGATACAACAGATCGATGAGGCAGTCTGAAACCAAAATCATCAAGCCCAAGAGGATTTCTACGTTTTAAACCAGCGTTTTTTTCGCCGAGGAGGATAAACAATACCGTGTATCATTAATAGATACGGAGTAGTATATAACAGAGAAGTGAAAGAACAGCCTTTTTGCATGCTTAACTATACCGTGATTAAAGTCTTTATGTGTAACATAAAGTTTATTTATGAGTTAAATTCAATGACAAAGTTCCTACATAGGAGTTCAATGTTTGATAGGTGTAAAAGTGTATGACTTGACCAAATCGATTACCCTTAACGAAGATTTAGGTATATTTAAGTTAAAAACAAAATAATAAATTAAAAGGCATTTCAAAACCATAAATACTATACCTGATATGCCAATACATATTTGGAAGGAATTTTGGCACGGATTCGGAGATCCCTGTCAAAGTCGTGCTGTTGTGAGCCCGTACCAAAATATGTTTCGATCCCAAACTCGATTACTTCGTTCCAACTCAATTAAATTTGATTAATTATATGATATATCCGAGTTGTGAAGGGCCAGGTGAATCTTGCATGACCAGGAGCGTGTATTGCTAGTTGCTACAAATCGTTCCGAAAATATGTTTTGATCTAGAGCATCTCCAATGGTAAAATGTGCACGGTGCACACGTGGCATGAGAAATAGCCACATAAATATTAATATATAAATTCTTTCTCTCCTTATTTGAATGATTTTATTCAGTTTTGGTAAGTTTTTCTCTACAATGTCAAGGAGACCGTCTAGATGTTGACATTGTTGTTGACATTGCAAGAAAAAACTAACCAAAATTGTATAAAATCATTCAAATAAGGAGAGAGATAATTTATTTGCTAATATTTATGTGGTCATCACTCATGCCACATGTGCACCTTGCACATTATAGCATTGGAGATGCTCCTAGTAATTTAAAATTTTGAAGATAATCCTTTAAAATAACTTGCCATAAATGTTACTTTCAGTTTTAGAATCACATTTACCATGACGATGCCAAATTTGGATAAAAATGTTGAGACCAAAGTAAATCACTTTTATGTTCTATGAACCAATTATTAATTATACTATTTTAGATAGGTTGGTTTATGGTTTTTCATTGAAGATATTATATTATACTTGTATAAATTAACCAATGAAACGGTAATAGTGAATATTTTATATAGAGAAGAGAAAAGATAGCAAGATTTTATAAGTAGTATTATAGCAACAATGCTCTCATCATTGTGTAGTGGGGGAGGAAAAAATAGTCAAACAAAGGTTGTAATATCAATATCATTGTTGTTAATAATAATCCCCAGTTTGATGAGTGTGGCCATTTCCATGGATCACCTCCAAACTATTTGCAGCTCCACACCCTACCCAGATCTATGCTACAACAGACTAGCACCCATTCTTGTCCCACCACCAATAAGAGACAATAACAACTTTGGACTATTACAAGAGGTCTATAAGTTGTCCATAAAAGTGGCGGTCAACGAGCTTTTGACCACCTCAAATGAGTTGCTCAAACTAGAATTAAAAGTGTCCGGTCAACGAAAGTCAATGACTGCACTCAGATTGTGTCGTGAGCTCCTCTCCGTCAACGCGCTTACCAACCTCCGGCATTCTTTGGCCATGCCGCCACCGTCACCGTCAAAATACAATCAAAGTACGACGTCCGAAACGTTTGAGGATCTCAAAACATTCCTCACCGCCGCCGGAGCATACCACCGCACATGCATCGACGCCGTTGACGACGTTAATAACGGCGACACAACCTTCAGAAATGCGGTTTTTCAAGTAATCAAGAACTCCTCGGAGCTTACGAGCAACAGCTTAGCCATTTTGCATGCATTTGAGGATTATATTGCCTTGAACAATGGTATGATGATGAGTAGGTCAAATGATGAGACTCCATTAGTGTACCAAAGTAGCTATGATGAGTTGACTTATGATGTTGTGGTGGCGAAAGACGGGTCAGGAAATTTCACCACAATTGGAGATGCTCTTAATGCTGCTCCAAGTAATAGTGAGAAAAGGTTTGTGATATACGTGAAAGAAGGAGTGTACAATGAGATCGTCAAAGTTGATATTAATAAGCGCAACATTATGATGGTCGGAGATGGGATGGACACTACCATTGTTACCGGAAACCTCAATGCCGGTAACGGAACTCCAACGTACTATTCTGCGACATTCAGTACGTATATTTATACAATTGCATATCACCATTATTAATTTGCTAAATATGAATATCACAACATATCACCATCACACCGCTTATTCAAATACTTAAACACAATTTCACAACAATATTCACAAGCTGTGCATATATGTTTTACCTAGTTTAAAATACTCCATATAAATTAAAGTAACAAATAAACATGTCTCTAAGACTTTGAACAGTATTAGATTGATAACACACCAAGTATTATCTAATAAAAGAAAATTAATAATGGCCTACAAAAATGTTCCTAACACTAGTAATATTCATGATTAAGAGTACTCTTATACCCTCGCTTTTATTAGCCTTATAACTTTTTTACTTTTTACAAACTACTTTCACTTTCCTACATTTTCATTACTTTTCTCTTCTCAATACACTCCCTTTGCTACTTTTTCATTTACCTACTGCTTTCAAACAAGATTAGATTGGAACACAAAATTTCTTATTTCTTATACAAAAATAAAATCCTTAGTGGAGATATAAGAACTAAGAAGATTTTTTTTAAAAAGTGATACTTATTGTTTAATTTGTGTTTGGTCCGTGTATAAAGCTGTTTCTGGGACGGGGTTTATAGCAAGAGACATGGGATTTGAGAACACAGCAGGGGCAGACATGGGGCAAGCCGTGGCATTGATGGCAAACGCAGACAAAGGAATCTTCCTCAGATGCAGAATCGCAGGATACCAAGACACGCTCCTCGCACAAGCCTACCGCCAGCTCTTCTACGACTGCCACGTGTACGGGACCGTTGACTTCATATTCGGCTACTCCGCCGCCGTCTTCCAGAACTGCCGCATCCTCGCCCGGAAGCCCCTAACGGGCCAGCAGAATGTCATCACGGCCCAGGGGAAATACGAGCCCATGGCCAAGTCCGGGTTCTCTTTTATCAACTGCTCCGTTCTACCGGCTGACGGTGAGGATCTGACTGGAGTCTCCACGTTCTTGGGCCGGCCCTGGAAGGCATATTCCACCGCTGTGTTTTCCATCACGCTGATGGAGAGTCTCATCGATCCCAAAGGTTGGGTGGCGTATTCCGGCGACACAGCTCCGGACACCATTTTTTACGGCGAGCATGTTAACAGCGGCGCTGGTGCTGTGATCAAGCACAGGGTCCATTGGAAGGGATTGCATTCAAGGCTCGGAACAACCCATGCAAACAAGTTTAGCATCAACGCCTTTATTCAGGGTTGTGATTGGGTTGTAGGACTGGGCATTCCTTGTACATGATATATTGACTTTAATTTCACGCAAATATAATTAAGCTCTACTTCCAAAAAAAATTATAAATTGTTTTTAACTTGTACTGTTTTAAAAAAGCTAAAAAAATGCGTTTTTAGACTAATTCTTTTATTTTAATATATTTAAGCACTATCAAGCTAAAAAATAAAAGCGAGAGAAAGTAGTTGTTGTAAATTCCTGAGAATGACAAGTGTGAATTGTTCATCCTTGTCATCAGGACATTAATCCAATTCTAGTCCTTGTAATAGACAGATGGCTAGGTTTAATGTTGCCAACAAATTATGTAGAATCATTCTTTGATGATTCATCTCCTAGCCAACTAGTATAAATAGGGTGCTCAATCCTTTGTAAATGTAATTCAGAAAAATTCATAGAACTCAGAGAAATTTTCCATATTAAGAAGTTATTCAGAGCTTATTTATAACATATCTATCTCTTAAATCTGTTCTTCATCTTCTTCATTTCACAACACGTTATCAGCACGAATCTGCTCAAAACTCTTCAAGAAATCAATCTCCTGCAGGTATTAGGATCAATATTTATTATCTACTTTTAGTATTCAAACCTGAAAATTATTTTAAGTTTTAAATAAAACTTCTATCATATACGTATGAAAAGAAAATATAGATAACATCATACCTTTGAATGAATCTTTTCTTCAATCAACCTTATCTCCTTGTAACACCCAGAAGTAAATACTTCGTATTTTATGAATAACAGGCAAGCCGGTCATATTACATACTCCGCAATAATAGTACTACGTAACAAAGAATAAGCAAAGAAAGAGTACTACAGGAGCCTTATTCTAGGAAGTTTTTATTACGGCTTAGAAAAGAAACAAAATGAAAAGAATGGGCAAAGTACTGTAAGAACTAGCAAGAAACGAAATGATAAAAGGAAATAGACCGGATGCTGAGAGGAAGTAAACAAATTTTAATCTCATAAGAGTCCCAATTTATCTTAGATATAGTCACGGGTCTGTAAACCCGATTATCATGCACTGCCCTAGGTTTTATTAGAGAAGTATGCAGAACAGTTGTCAACCTTCTACGTTTTACTACTATTATTCACGGACTAGTTTTATTAGAGAAGCATGCAGAACAGTTGTCAACCTTCTACGTTTTACTACTATTATTCACGGACTAAAAGAAGACAAAATACTGACTACCTACTCTAGAAACAATTGTTTAACTTAAATTAGACGAATAAATTAAATAGTAATAATAATAATAATAACTATACCACATGGCAACATGAGACATAACATGTAGTCATGTACGTTGCATACTTGATGAGTAGTATACAGTAATTATAATTATAATGTACTACGTAGAAGTATAAAGATATATTAATTATTCTTAAGATGTTTAGCGAAAATTCTAGTAGAACCATGTTCATACTATAATCAGTATTTTTTGTACTAATAAAATTCATATTAATAATTGTTTTTAGTATAATGGCCAACATTAGCAAAAGAGAGTTAGACGTTCTTGATTTGTCTGGTCAAAAATATTTGGAATGGAAAGTCGATGCTCTGGCACATCTTAAGGCTAATGGTTTAGAAGATACAATTGAAGCCAATAATCTATCATCTTCTCAAGATAAAGCGAAAGCTATCATTTTCCTCCGTCACCACCTCCATGAAAGTCTCAAATCTGAATATCTTTTGGTTGACGATCCAAAAGAATTATGGGACAATTTACAAGAGAGGTATGGCCACCAACAAAAGGTACTTTTGCCAAAAGCTCAGTATGACTGGATCAATTTAAGATTCCAAGATTTTAAATCAATCAGTGACTATAAT